AGAAAAATCTCTCTCTTCATCTCTTTGGCTTCTCTTTCAACTTCTTCAATCCAAACTAACGGCAAAGACTAAACTCTTATTTTCCCTTCTCACCTTTCTCCTTCCTCATCAGGGTCGGAAGCAGTTAAACAGGTTCAATAAAAAAGAAAAAAAGGGAGTCATAGATGTGCTTCTTCATATTAAGTACATCCAAACAATGCTTAGCCCAACAACACGCAACTCATGCACGCTGACATGCCATATATATGGTATATATACTTCCCTTGTCAATTTCCATTTTCAGTAACAAAATAAATATACACCCAAATTCATACACAAGAACAAAATACCCCAAACAAAATACTAACCTTTTGATTAACAACATCATGATTTCCCCCACTTCAATCCGACGGTCACCATTTTCCCTTACATCACCATGAACGTTACCATGAAGCTGTAGCTTCATCTTTCAATAAGCATTCAAAATCTCCATTCTCCTTTCTTCTTCTTCCTCCCTATATAAATCCTAAAAATTTTGAGGGTTGAAACCCTGTATTTCTGATTTCCATGGCGTCAGAGAAGAACATGGATATGGAAATGGGTCCTTCCCACTCGACGGAAAGATCGAAGCTTGTTGCTCGGAGGAAACCGGGGAGGGAAAAAAGGGACCGGCATGCAAAGGTTGACGGCCGAGACCGGCGCATCCGATTGTCACCCATCTGCGCAGCCAGAATTTTCCAGCTCACTCGAGAGCTGGGCTACAAGACAGACGGCGAGACCATAGAATGGCTCTTGCGTCAGGCGGAGCCGTCAATCATTGCTGCCACAGGGAATGGAGTCTCCCAGCCAACTTCTCCACCTGCTTCTGCACCGGCCACTATTCCTGGCGCTACCGATCTGGTTGATGTCTCCTCATCCGCAGGTTTTCTTTCATCATCTGATTGTTTGGTACCTTCCTTGAACTTCCGTGACGCAAAACCTGCACCAGAAACTGGAGATCCTTTCAAGCAAGGTTCGGTTTCAAGGCCTGTGCCTAGTTTGCCACCTTTCGAGTTTGATTTGGTTGCAAACCTCAATATGGAATTTTCTGCTAATGAGATTGCGATGTTGCAATCCTTGACCGGAAATATTGCAAAAGGGAATTGAAGTAATGACAAGTTGTCAGCATTAATGGTGTGGGATTTAATTATGTTTTCTTATGTTTGAGTAATTTTATGATTTGCAGTTTTAGTGTGATGTAGCAGTAAGACTTCTCGCAGGATATTCCGGGTTCTAAATAAAGAGTTAAGTGTTTGATTTGGGTTTAATTGAAAAGGTTTTATGTTTTATGTTTATTGGAAGTTTAGGATGAACAAATGTGCTGTTGTTTCTTTGCCGTGTTTGAAATTTAATTTTGGCAGACTGATCAACTTGTTTTCTTTTCTTTCATTATATGGCTATTTTTTCACAGTAACATACAGAAGCTTAATCAGCTTGTTCTTTGTTCTTCTTCTTCTTCTTCTTCTTTCTCTCTCTGATTTTATTTTTTTAATGATTTTGTTCATTTCTTTGATATAGTGTTTTAAATCAAGAGAAAATAGTCTTACAATATGTCCTCTCAATTTTTTTTAAATGTTTAAAAATTTATCTTTTAATTAATATTTTTAAATATTAATAGCTAAATTTAAAATTTATTAATTTAAATCTTTCTTGTTGATTTTTTAGATTGATTGAGGAAATTTTACACAAAATTTAATTAATCAAAATATTATAAATATTAAATTAATATAAAAATTAATGTATATATAATTTATATAAGTAAAATTTTCAATTTATCTTAATTTTTAAAAATAAGCCCTAAAAAGGTTCTTTGAAAGGACAGCCTGCTTTTAATGAATTGTTCAAAAGCAACTCCGCCAAAACATCTCAACAGTTGCTTTCCCAAGGATTCACCTGATTTTTCCGCAGCGTCTTCATTGCTACTCGGCTAGCCCAGCCCATTAGAGGATGCAACCGACAAGGATGGCATCTGTGTACACTCCCTATGTTTCTGTTTCCTGACTCTCTGCATTTCAGCCTACTTCTTCATCTTTAGTATCTGGCATATGTGTACCTTCGTTTTTCTTTATTATTATTATTATTATTATTTTATCTTCATTGCACACAACTATTTTTTATTTTTTATTCCACCTCACGTCTCACGTCTCACTTATATATTATGCGATTCAAGCTCATAATTTTTTATTTTTAACGAAAAAAAGATGATCACTAAACTATTTATGTTGTTAACTATTAATCTCATCTCTATTTTCTGATTAAGAAAAATCAACTCAGCCAGTGACGGACAGGGGAAAGTGGTAATGGGAAGCAACTGCTTCTCTAACAAGTGATTTTAGTTAATGCATATAGAGTCATTTTGAAAAAATAAAATAAAATCAAATAAATGAGGGAAGATCAGCATCAAATGGAAGGACATGTACAAATCATACAGAGTGTCGAAGGAAGAGGGCGTTCCTGCTTTTCGTTTTATATTTATCCTTGAAATCCATTCTAACTGGAATGCGGAAGAAAATAACTGTCCCACCGATGCAACTTCTAGCAAATGCAGTAAACATACATACCCACAAATTAAAATCCATTAGGACCACATTCTCAGTATTCATCTGGTAACTCCGAATGCTTGTTGCGGAACATCTTCCGCCACCTTTTCTTCTTCTTGGTCCCAAATGCCGGCACATCTGGATTATAAAACCATGTAACATGGATTATAGTTGATTTTGCAAATGGATATAAATGGAGCACGGTTTATTATCAACAAAATGACCAATCCTCTGTCCCAAGAAAGCAAGAAAGGAGCACAGTTTCTATCTGCCTACATCTAACCCAACTTCACTTTGACCACCAAGTTGAAACTGTAACAGTGAGCAATAAACGAATATTTGGACATTTGGTCATGTTTCTATCCCCATGCCATGCAATAATAGAAGAGAAAAGCTGTTTACCCCTTCTGTTACATACCTGCATCCAAAGTCTAGAATGCAACTGTTACTGCCCTATCCAGACACTTTACTAGAGAGAAATGACCTATACCTAAAGTGATCTTTGCCATTTGAACACAGTTACACAGACAGTTTTGCAAGCTGCATTCCCTACAACATATACTTCTCATTTTTGTTTGCATTATTGCTTTAGGAAGGAACAACTTTTAAAAGTAAAGGAGCAGATTATTACCCCCCAAAGGATATATTGAGTTGTAGTGCACTTCAGCCCAGAAGCTCAAAAATATTACTGCACAACATAATACAGTAATTAATTCTACAAAATTCCATTAGGAATTATAATGGTATGATTGAGCATAAAATATCTACATAGCTTAAAGTATTTTGTGAAAAAGAAACCCAGCATAACCTAAGTAAGAAGGGACTAAATGGGAAGTCTACCAACAAAGCTGATATGCTTTCAAGGTTGTACCAAACAATGTAATGGATCAATTGCAACTAAGATAATGACAAAAGTCAACGAATATAATTAAAATCCTAGATTTTTGAAAAGAAAGTAATGGAAGAGGTACTTATATAAACTGTACCTCGTTTTGACTTTTGGACATTTGGAAGAATCTCAATGTAGCATGTGTCCTTGAAAGATGTTATGACAAATATTTTAACACCATACTGCAACAAATTGATGCTAGCATTAGACAGCTGATATGTATGCTACTAACCTATGACACATTAATATATAGAGAACTATATTATGAAATTCACAGATAAAATAGCAATCGCATCAGCATGCCTATATTTTAGTTGCTGACTATTCAACTTTGAGTTTATACCCCACTGCCCTAAAAATAAAAAGGGGACAAAATGCGAAATCGTAAACAAGAGGATGTGAAATGAGGGTGGCCTATAGAATATACCGAATCTGAAGCAGCCTGCAAAGTGACATGATCACCCCATTCACCATTCCTATTAGGATTCACATGATACAACAATGAGATAAAGAGTAACACAAAAATGAGACACAATTAAGTCAAAGAGTGGGCAAATACCTGGACATCTTGTCTAGGTAGTCACTATAAGCCATGGGAACACACCCTTCATATATCTCTGGACAAGACTTAAGCTAATAGTGCAAGATATAGCAATAAAAAACATCAACATCAGAGTTATGTGATTAAACAGCAAGACTAACAAGGGTGAAGGACAGACCTTATTTACAACTTGTTGCCTCACGAATTCATGGTGCTCAGGGGTTCGATAGAATTGATCAGAAAGAGCACGAAACTGGTAACATTATGAACTTAATGAGCACAAGGAATTAATTTGTATGGAGCACCAATGGTCAATGAAGGACATGTCACAGTGCGAAAATGAAATATTGAGCTTTTAAAGCACTGGACTGAAATGTATCATGATCTAGCATCTATGTCACAACATTTTAGAAGAAAATTGTTACTAACAACAGAATTATCTAATTTATCAGAGCCTCATAGGCTATATTCTTCCAACGTAAATCTATACCTTGTTACTTTTAACCTCAGTCACATGCATTCCAATGATGTTAGATTACTGCTGCATAAAGCTATCTTGTTCATTTCGGTTGGGGCGGGGGGTGGTTTAAATAGGAATATCAAACTTGTAGCTGTGAGAATAACCATTAAAGCGTAGCTTATATTTTATAGAGGTAAAAACAATTTCTGGATAGCTTTGTTGACTCTATTTGTTGGATTCCTTCTTTCAGAGCTTAAAGATGCCTAAAATAACAAA